TTACCATCAGGAGAGGGGGACAAGGTGTCATAAGGGACAACCACTTCATCAGTTGGAGTTTGGATCTTACTCCATTCTATGTGCTGAGCTTCTCCACTTCAATCAAATGGCAGTAATCTTCAATATCAGGATTTGAAGCTAGCAAAAAAGCAAATAATAAAGAGTCGATTTGAATAATAGTACCTGAGATAGCGGGAGACAAGGTTGATGAATCCGTTCTTCTCATTTTCACTGAGACGCGAATCAGAAACCGAAGATTTGTTTGGTATTAGCTTTTTTTGATATCATCAGTACAATAAAACACAATAACTGAGTCGAAACCGAAAGAAAAGAAAAGACCTGATTTCAGAAAGAGAAGCGACGGCAGATTTGAGGCTTTCCAGCTTTTCCATTGGAAACAACTAAGCTGGTATAATATTAGTATTAAGGCAATCGATCTCAAAATCGAAGAAAACCGAAAGACAAAGGAAAATCAAAGGGAAAAAGAATCTAAAATCACAAGAGAAAGATGATCTTACAAATGTGCTGGTGTGGTGTGGTGTGGTTTTTCACCTTTAAAACAAATTATCTAAGCTCCTTGAGTGAAACAAAAAATTATATGTATACCTTTTTCCCCTTAAATTATAATAATAAATACAAAATTCGAAGTAAATGAATCAATGGCTTGACATGACATTTTTGTCTCTATATTAATTTTACACGTAATAAAAATGAATTTGAAAAAAATAAAAAATAAATGAATTTGAAAAAATAATAAAATAAAAAATAATTTTAGTACAGTGACATTTTTATTTTTTTTAGATTTTAAAACATTTCCTTTTACTCACTTTAATTTATTAGAAACAATTACTTTTAAAAAAATATTAAAAATCAGCGTGATAAAATTTCATTTTCTTATTTTTTTTTGTTTAAATAAGTTCGTATTACTTTTCATGATACCAAAGTATTTATTTTTGGTACGTTATTAAAATTTCATTAACTCCTTTAAATTTAAGACAATCGTAATTTATTAAAAAAATTGCTCTTAAAATAGTTACCAAAACGGCATAATTAAATGACAAGGAAAGAAGCAATACCATTTTTCCTATTTTCATTATTCTTATTATTTTATGACATTATTCGATTTATCTTTTTAAATATAATTTTAAAACACAAAATGAAAGTATCACTCGTTATAATTCCAGATTTAAAGTTAATTAAACTTGTAATATACTCTAAAGATATCACTTCGATTTATATTCAAATATAATAAAAGATAAATAATTTTTCTTACAGATAAGTATAATAAAAATTATCGTTATGAAATTCTTATTGATAAAAATAAAAGAAATTTCGGAGTTTCCAATTTGTTTTATTGGGCTTCTAGAAAAGGAAAACTGTGGATGGACGCGAAGCCCACAGGACATGGAGCAGGGACTAACGGGTGGCGCGCATCTCTACAAAAAGGCGACACCTCACTCGCGGCATCTTGCTTTGGCTCTTGTTTAGAATACTCTCCAAATGTTTATTTTTAAGGGTAAACTATGCCAATGGTCAATGGTGTCTGAATTAGTTATTGTTTTTACTGTTGATGTTTTAAAAGTCACAAATCAATTATTAATATTATCATTTATTATAAATTAGTCACTAGTCAATTACTACGATTAACAAGAGTGACGGAATACACAACTGAACCGTTTGAAGCTTACTTTGACTGGATTGACCATCGCATAGAATGTCAAATGTTGAAATCAATAGCATGCATGTGTTGTTGTTTCGTCTTCTTCCTCTTTCTTGGATAGTTATTATGGGTTCTTGCTTCATCATCTTCCTCTTTCTTCATCATCTTCCTCTTTCTTCAGTAGTTAACAGTGAATTGGCCTAAAGAAGATGAAATCTTTCCCTCAAATGAATTATCAAACACAAAAGAAATTTTAAAGGAACTTCCCTGTTAGATTATCACTAACGGTAAATAAATTCACTCCATTTAAATGCTTAAAACATAAAACACAAAAGAAATTTATTTTTTCTTGATTTGAAAAAGTTTGAAGTAAGAACTAATTTTAAAATAATTTAATATTCAAATGAAACAATCTTCTGACATTCAAAAACAAAGAATTTTATTTAGGGAAACAAGAAAAGAACAAAAATGAAAATAATTCACATCTTCTCAAGCTTCTCAAAAGAGTCGGCCTTGAGGGGAACCCGACCGTGAATGGCTTATTCGGCGACAACACTAAGCCATGCAGGCCAGCAGGTAGCTACGTGTTCAGCTTCCATATACTTCTGTAAATTCCCCAACCGCGCAAACTCGGCGAGTCAGATCTCCAACTCGTCGGACCCGACTAACCCCCACTCACCTCCAAATTAGTCACAACACCACCATTACTATTCCTTTTCTTCTTACTACCTCCTTCGTAGCTGCTAGCCTTCTTTTCCAGCTCCGAGAACCCGATCCGAGACCGACCCGAGATACTCTCAAAGCTACCAGTGGCACCGGTCTTGTCACGTAAAGTGCCCGAGTGATCTACTACAGGCGTCACCGACACCGCCTGCTTAGAATCGACGCAACCCATTTGATCTCAATGTACAACGTTGACCATGTGATCAAGAACCAAAGATCCCCGAAAATTACTTTATGGGTTTTATGGGAAAAGAATGTATTTTTATGGGAAACGATAATTGCGGGATAATAGTAGAAGATGAAGCAAGAACTGATGGTAACTACTCAAGAAAAAGGAAGAAGATGAAACAAGAACTCATGATAACTACCTGAGTAAAAGGAAGAAGATGAAGCAACAACCCATGTATGCTATTGCTTTCAACATTTGACACTATGTGGCAGTCAACCTAGTCCAAGTAAACTTTAAACGGTCTAGCTATTCTGTCACTCTTGTTAACAACGATTAACGGACCAATTTGTAATAAATGATAATTTTAATGATCGATTTGTGACTTTTGAAACATTAATGGTAAAAATGAATATTAACCCAAACATTAGTGACTATTGGAGTAGTTTATCCTATTTTTAATTTTATATATTAACTAATTTACTTAAGTGGTTAAAAGAATTATTGTTATTATTATTTGCTATGGGTTCGAGAGCTCCAACGACTGCAGCAAGATGATTGAGCGTTCATTGTTAAATGATTAAAAATATTTAGAACATATATTATTTTATAATCATCTTAGCTAATAAAAAAATATAATTCTATATTTATAACTATATCTAATTATTCTAATATTTTATTAAATAATTTTAATAATATTTTTTTTAAATTTTAAATTCAAACAATTATATCCATTCTTAATAATTTAATAAAATTTTTGAACACTTTAATAAGATGACGAGTAGGTTCAAACTTAAGTCTATACAAAACCAAGAATTGCATTTCGTAGTTTAGAATATATATTTTTATTATCCTCATTCATTTCATTTCTTGGTATAGTTACTAGTACAGCAGAGTGGCGGAATTTCGTGAGGTTAAAGGGAATCTTGGCCTCCTCTAATTATATTTTAAGTATGAATTAATATTAAAAATATATTATAAAAAATAAATAAATAAAAATTTATCAAGATCTTTTAATTAAAAATATATATTTAAAGAAAATAAAAATATTTTAATTTTGTTATAATAAATTTTTAATTCTGTCTCTGTATAATAGTATTTGACCGATGTTACATAGATATTTTTTAAAATTTAAATATTATTTAAAAGAATAAGTATTATATTATATTATATTAAAACCAATTGATAATTAATAAAATAGAAAATAACTCCAATAATCGAAAATGTCTTATAATATATGATTTCACAAGGTTCTTAACCTTGAGGTCGTGGGATCGAGTCCCACGGAGGGCATTTCATAATTCAGAGGTCTTCTACGGAAGTTGCTCTCAACCTGGTGTTGGGGGCATCCTACTATCTTACCTCCCCCTTACCCCATTACATATGGGAACAAGGGACATCCATTTTTTTGGATTTGCGAAAATAACCAACAAATTTGCAACGCGAACTCAATTTCGCAACACAGTTTCCAAATTCGCAAAGCGATTCTCCAAATTCGCAAAGCGGTTCTCAATTTCGCAACGCTAATTACCGATATAGGTAAACACAACTATTCGCAACTCAGTTTTCAAAATCGCAACTCAGTTTTCAAATTTGTAACGCGATTCTCCAAATTCGCAACGCTAATTACCGATATAGGTAAACACAACTATTCGCAACTCAGTTTTCAAATTCGCAACGCGAAATAGCCAATTTTGCAACTAAATTACCGATATAGGTATACTCGATGGAAAAATCCAGTAAAAAATACAAATTTGACAATTTGAAAACTGAGTTGCGAATTTGACAAATTCATGTTGCGAAATGTAAAATCTCGCATATTAAAGAAAAAATCGTGAGTAAATAATAATTTGATATTTGTCAATTTTAAAAGTGAGTAACTGATCACAATTAGTTCAATATGATTAGAAGATTTTTTAGTTCAATATGGTGGTCGCACGTAGAATTTTGATTAGTAAAAAATCTCGTTGCGAAAATGTTGTGTTTATCTATATCGGTAATTAGCGTTGCGAATTTGGAGAATCGCGTTACGAAATTGAAAACTGAGTTGCAAATAGTTGTGTTTACCTATCGGTAATTAGCGTTGCGAATTTGGAGAATCGTGTTGTGAATTTAGAAACTATGTTGTGAAATTGGAGTTCGCATTGCGAATTTGTTGGTTATTTTAAAATCATATATTATAAGACATTTTCGGTCACTGAAATTATTTTCTCTTAATAAAAACATAGCTTTTTTAACTTGTCATAAGAGTCTCAAAGTTAAGATACTTGGTCATAGATGTGAGTATATCATCAACCCAAGACACGTTACTAGTACCTTTCACTCAATCCAAAAATCAAAGCTAATCAGGAATGTTAAACGGTTAATTCGGCTATCAAATGAATCGAATTATCATTAATCAAATTTTTTTTTATTTAACCGTTAATCGAACCGAATTTTTTAAAAAAAATATTAATCAAACCGAACAAAGTTAACTATATCATAATGCATGCCATCATATGTACAATGCGCCCCACAATTCCATGTCAAAGACGGGATGTCGAGCAAATCGATCGAGCCGCCAGTTTGGCGCAATAACCCACTTCCGGTGAGCGCTGCATCGTAGTCATGCCACACTGCATCCCTCATCTGCTGCGTCTTTTCATGTGTATTCAACATCCCATTGATGAGCACCGGTAACCCGAGCCAATAAAATCGGTTGAAAATGGAAATAAAGGGACCACGGAACCTTTTAACGTCCGCAAAACAGATTCATAATCTGACGCTTTGTTGACGTGAAGCATATGCCATAGACCAGCACCCATTACCAATAGACGAGGGTAACTCTTTCTGGCCTTAAAATCGATCGTCAGATGGGTTAAATTCGAAACATATGGCGCCCAAACGAAATCCAGTTTCATGCCGATTTCGTTAACTGAAATGCTGTAATTACTGTGTCTCTTGAATAGAGCGGCTCTAATAGAGTCCATGCGTTGGGGTTTGGAACCCAGAATCAAGTTTAATAAAGAGAGGGTGAACAATTGAGCTGGGAATCGCCGGCGATCACCACCAGGGATGTTAGGAAATAAACCAAGTACAAGTAATTTCCCTATAACCAGATTTGTAAGAATGCGAAATAAAAGCGGAAAAATAATACCCGAAATTGATAACGGAGTTCAGCCAATTTTTGCTTACGTCTCCGGACTGCTGCAGATCTTTTACTAAGAGAGAAATTTTACAGGTGTTTACAAAACACTCACTACTCACAAGAAAGCTCTCTAGTATTGGGAGAAAGAAATGATTTTTGGGATGATTTTGAAGCTAAATGAGCTAGGCTATTTATAGTTGAAACTTAGGGACTAATCTTGTAAATACCCTAAAGTTCAATGACTCAATTTTGTAATTATACCTATTATAAAAATAAAAATCAGCAGCCCCCCATTTTTCTTCCCTTAGCAGCCCCCCTGGCTGCTGTCTTTGACCAACAATCTCCCACTTGAAGACTAATTTCAATCTGTCTTCACACATCGATCGATGCAGCAGTATTTCTGGTCTTTTATTCTAGCATGCCAACTGAAGTTGAACACAACTTCAGTTTGTCCGTGGTCACCGTCTTTGTCAACATGTCTGCCGGATTTTGAGCTCCACTAATCTTTTCAAGTTTCAAAATCCCATCTTCCAGAAGAGACCGGATAAATGATATCTCAATTGTATGTGCTTCGTCCTGGAATGAAAAGACGGATTCTTCGCTAGATGGATAGCACTTTGACTGTCGCAATACAAGACATTGTTTTCTTGTTTCTTACCTAACTCGTCCAAGAAACTTTGGAGCCAAACCATCTCCTTGCTGGCTTCCGTAACAGCGACATATTCTGCTTCAGTTGTGGAGAGAGCAACTATCTTCTGTAGTTGAGAAACCCAACTCACTGCAGTACCTCCTAGAGTGTAGACATACCCTGTAGTGCTCCTTCTGATGTCAATATTTCCGGCTAAGTCAGCATCTACATAGCCTGTCAGTATCGTATCTCCACTTTTGAAACAAAGTGCTTTGTTTGTGGTACCCCGCAGATATCTGAGGATCCATTTGACTGCTTCCCAGTGTACCTTGCCCGGATTATTCATGTACCTGCTAACAGCTCCCACTGCATGAGCAATATCTGGTCTGGTACAAACCATGGCATACATCAGACTTCCAATTGCTGAGGCATACGGCACCTTCACCATGTGTGCACGTTCTTCCTCCGTCTTTGGTGATTGGTCTTTGGAGAGTCTGAAATGAACACCTAAAGGTGTACTTACTGGTTTAGCATCTTGCATGTTGAACCTGGAGAGTACTTTGTTGATGTACTCAGCCTGTGATAACATCAAAGTCCCCGACTTTGTGTCTCTTTTGATCCTCATCCCAAGAATCTGCTTTGCAGCGCCGAGATCCTTCATAGCAAACTGCTTCGACAATTTTTGCTTCAAGTTTATAATCTCTTGCATATCTGAGCCTGCAACGAGCATGTCATCAACGTACAATAATAAAATAATGAAGCTGTTGTCGAACCTCTTGATGTAGCAACAATGATCTGCTTGGCATTTTGGTAAAACCACTGCTACTCATGAAACTATCGAACTTCTTATACCACCTGTCTTGGAGCTTGTTTTAAACCATACAAGCTCTTCTTTAACCTGCATACCAGGTTTTTCTTGTCTGCTTTTATGAAGCCTTCTGGTTGCCTCATATAGATTTCTTCCTCCAAATCACCATGAAGGAAAGCTGTCTTTACATCTAACTGCTCAAGATGTAAATTCTCTGCAGCTACAATTTTCAACACCAGTCTGATTGTAGACAGTTTTACGACTGGAGAGAAAATTTCATTGTAGTCAATACCTTCTTTTTGCTGAAAGCCTTTGACAACCAATCTTGCTTTGTAGCGTTTTCTCCCATCGTGCTCTTCTTTGATCTTGTAAATCCACTTGTTATGGAGCGCTTTCTTGCCTAGTGGTAATTCAGCTAATTCCCATGTCTGATTTGACATAAGCGATTCCATCTCATCTTTCATGGAAGACTCCCACTTGACTGAATCCTCCACTTGCATTGCTTCATCATAGCACTCTGGTTCACCATTGTCAGTTAGCAACAAGTAGTGCAAAGAAGGAGAATACCGTTGGGTTGGTTTAGGAATTCTGGAGGAGCGTCTCAGTTCTGGTGTGCTTGGTTCTTCTTGAACTGCTTCAGGATTGATTTGAACATCATTTCCAGGAATCTCCTCAAACTCAGCAAATTCCTTTGTTTCAGCTTTGGTATTTGAACTACTTGATTCTACAATTGACTTGTCTTTGTACATCACATTCTCATTGAAAATGACATCTCTGCTTCTGATGATCTTCCGATTTTCATAGTCCCAAAACCGGTAACCGAACTCATCACCGCCATAACCAACAAAGGCACATTTGTTGGACTTAGCATCAAGCTTACTTCTTTCAGCAGAGTCTATGTGTACATAAGAAATACAACCAAACACTCTTAAGTGTGAAAGGTTTATTTCTTTCTTGCTCCAAACTTCCTCTGGTATTCTGCCATCCAAAGGAACTGAGGGCCCACGGTTGATCAAGTAAGCTGCAGTGTTGATTGCTTCAGCCCATAGAAATTTGGGCAAGCCGGCATGTATCCTCATACTTCTGGCACGTTCATTCAGAGTTCTGTTCATGCGCTCTGCTACACCATTATGTTGCGGTGTCTTGGGAACTGTTGTCTCCATTTTGATCCCATTGTTTGCGCAGAAATCTCTGAATCTACTGTCTCTGTACTCTCCTCCATTGTCAGACCTCAACCGCTTGACTTTCAAACCAGTCTCATTTTCCACCATGGCCTTCCATTTTCTGAAGATATCGAAGACTTCTGATTTCTTCTTCAGAAAATAAACCCACACCTTCCTTGTTGAATCATCGATGAAGGTGACATAATATAGTGAGCCTGCAAGAGATGGAACTGGGGATGGTCCCCATACATCAGTATGAATCAATTCTAACCTTTCTGCCTTGGGTGCCTTGCCAATCTTTGCAAAACTGACTTTCTTTTGTTTTCCAAAGATGCAGTCCTCGCATAGTCCGACATCCACATTCTTTAGATCCGGCAGCTTCCCTTTTGACAGAAGTATCTTCATTCCTTTCTCGCTCATATGGCCAAGCCTTTGGTGCCATAGGTTTGATTTTCCATCAGCATCTGCTACTGCAATGATATTCTCTAAATTTGAGGTTACATAGAGAGTACCAGTCTTCTTACCACGAGCAATGACGAGTGCTCCTTTGGTAATCTTCCATTCACAACCTGAAAAGGTTGTACTATATCCTTCTCCATCAAGCTGTCCAACAGAAATCAGATTTCTTTTGAGGCCAGGAATATGTCTCACTCCTGTCAGCTTCCAGGTGGTCTGGTTTGGCAACTTTAGTCGGATATCTCCTTTTCCGACGATCTTCAAGGTTTCATCATCAGCAAGATGAACCTTCCCAAAATCACCACTGATATAGTTCTCCATGATTTCTTGGCATGGGGTGGAGTGGAAAGATGCCCCTGAATCCAAGATCCATGATTCAATCGGACTGTTGACGCTTAGAATCATGGCATCACCTGTCTCCTCTGTCACGTTGGCAGATTCCTGTGCACCGGTATCTTTCTTCAGTGCTCGACAATCTCTTTTAAAGTGACCTTTCTTGCCACAATTATAACAGGTAAAATCTTTCTTTCCCGTTCTGGATTTTTCCCGTCTGGATTTGGATCTGCCACGATTTGAATTTCTTTCTGAAGTTCTCCCTCTGGACTCCGTGTGCAAGGCTGAGGAGGTTGATGCTTCACCCGATTCTCTCCGTCGAATTTCTTCGCTCAGTACCAGATCCCGAACATCGTCGAATTTTAATTTGCTGTTTCCCGACGAACTGCTGACTGCTGTAACAGTAGCATTCCAACTGTCTGGTAGAGATGATAAGAGAATTAAAGCTCGAACTTCATCATCGAATTCAATTTCCACTGAACTCAACTGGGTTGTGATTGTATTGAGTTCATTTAGGTGTTGTGCCATCGATGCCCATTCCGTCATCCGCAAATTAAATAATCGCCTCATCAAATGAACTTTGTTTGAGGCCGATGGCTTCTCATACATACTGGAGAGAGCCGCCATAAGACCTGCCGTGGTCTTTTCCTTTGCTATGTTGAAAGCAACATTTCGGGACAACGTCAGTCGGATAACTCCGAGGGCTTGTCTGTCGAGAAGAGCCCAGTCTTCATTCTTCATGCCCTCTGGTTGCTTTCCTGAAAGAGGTTGATATAGATTTTTCTGATACAGAAAATCTTCAATCTGCATCTTCCAAAAGCCAAAGTCCGCACCATCGAACTTTTCAATTTTCACCTTCCCTTCGTCTGCAGCCATCGCTCCCACTCGAATCTGGCTTCTTTGAATCGTTTTTGACAATTTCTGCGAACCGCCGTGTATTTGAACACCTCCGTCGACAAATTCGTATCGCCGACAAAATTTCACTATTCACGAAATTCACTATTCACGTGAATAGTAACCCGCAGAAAAAATTGGCAAAATTCAAAACCAAAAGCTCATGATACCAGTTGTTAGGAAATAAACCAAGTACAAGTAATTTCCCTATAACCAGATTTGTAAGAATGCGAAATAAAAGCGGAAAAATAATACCCGAAATTGATAACGGAGTTCAGCCAATTTTTGCTTACGTCTCCGGACTGCTGCAGATCTTTTACTAAGAGAGAAATTTTACAGGTGTTTACAAAACACTCACTACTCACAAGAAAGCTCTCTAGTATTGGGAGAAAGAAATGATTTTTGGGATGATTTTGAAGCTAAATGAGCTAGGCTATTTATAGTTGAAACTTAGGGACTAATCTTGTAAATACCCTAAAGTTCAATGACTCAATTTTGTAATTATACCTATTATAAAAATAAAAATCAGCAGCCCCCCATTTTTCTTCCCTTAGCAGCCC